ATGGATTCGCAGTCAGGGGTACTAACCACTAGACCAATGAGTCGTCAAACTGTCAAGTAACTGAGGCTGTTGTTTGACATATTTATTTAAGTTCTTGAGACACCTTCAATTCCTCCACGAAAATAGAAAAGTATTTCCTCAAAAATTCAAGCCTCGTAAGTATTGATTGCCATATTAAAAATATAACATAATATGTACGTTACCTATCAACATGCTCGCATTATTTCACAAGTGAAACTTTTAATGAAAGCCTTAACGAACGCCTTCGCTCGTTCATTGTTTCGATTCGTGTACTGCCTTGTAATCTTGATGGGAACGTCTTAAAGTTTCAGCGCTTTTATTATACCTCTTATTACCAACTCAAACATAATTTTGTATTGAGCGTTGAACATTGGACTGAAATTCGACATTTGAAAATAACGCCATCTCTTGTCATGCTTGAAATCTGAAACTAATTCTGTTCGATAGATTTTTATTTTGATCGTATGCAGCTATTCGTGCCACTAGATGTCTCATTTCGGATTTTAGTTATATTTTTTATGCCTTGCTAGAGGGAAGATTTATTTCTGCTTATTAAGTTATCTGACTTCAAATATATTATTCTTAAGACAATAAATAATTGAGGAATACATATTATTATTTACGTAAATTTGATATACTCTACGTCTAATAGGATTTAAAAAAATTGAACTTATTGCTTTACATATATTTTGGGAATGAAGGGTAAGAGATACATATTATATTCAAATAATTTGTTTGCATACGGAAGTCTACTTAGCGCCAAGTCTCGACTCCTGGCCCCCATACCTTGTCATAGTAGAGTTACAGAAGCCATGAGCTACATTCGTTGCGTTGATGGAATAAATTTGCCTTATTTTAATTTCAACCGTAGTTTATAGAAAAGCTGCAATTAAAATTTTAATCAAGAATTGAAAACATAATATTCGAATACATTTTATTAATTGCAGTACATGGGAAAACCGGATATTAATTCTGCGAACTCTCATATGAGTTATTAGTATTTACATTGGACAAATAAGTAAAACTGTATTTTACGAAATTGTTTATTTTGTTGAATTTATTTCTGCTCGATTTAGTTACTTACCGTTAATTTGCCCAAACTTACGTGCGCCAGTAACGTATTGAATAGTTCATACAGGAGTCATTGTTAGCGCTAAGTTTTGAAACACTTCTGGACACAACAAGGCAAGAAGCAAACATTTTTAATATCGTAGACATTTATATACGTATATATTTCCTCTCTAATAACTATCGGTCTTACTAATAAAGAATTATGCACATCGTATAAGCCTGTTATAAGAAAAATGTTACTAATAATTCCTGAATTGACACGTTTGATGTATACGGCTGTTATAACAAGTGTCTGGTTTGTATGAAGACTTTTACAATGCTTATACAACGCCGAGGCCTAGTTTAACGGGTGTATAGGACATAAATTGCGTTATTTGATCTGATTTCGCGTTTGACAGCATTTTTTGACTGTTTAGTTCAAGGAAAGATTTAAGTTAGTAGGTATTTGTGTTTGTTGAAAATAGATTTTATAGATCAAATGGAAGATTTAGATAATATTGATATGCAGCTAATACATACGATTGAAGATTTGCCGCCTCCAAGGAAAGTCAAAACATACCAAACTCGGTGCAATCCGTTATTACTTTCGGATGGCGATTTCAAAACAAAATACCGCTTTTCAAAGAAGTATGTTATGAAGATCTGTGACAGTGCGAGCTGATGTCGAAAAGAGTAATAGAGGTGGATGGTTTTCGATTTAGGTGTCTTCTTCATGGCTTCTCAGTGTCTTTAGAAAATGCCAAATTATATATAGTAGCACTGGCAATCCTCCACAATATTGCTATTGATATGAAAGAAGACCTGGATGTTACGTATAATGACACTGAGAATGCTCCAGAAGAACCAAGGCTATCTAGACGCCCCCAAGCAATCAGGCTGGACAAGCTGCTAGAGCTGCTTTTATTGAAACATATTTTTAAAGCTGTTTTATTTACATAGGTGTGGATAGTTAGACGTGAAATAAATAAAAAGTTATATTTCATTTAAAACAGGGGTTTTATTTTTTTTATAAGTATATAATTATTCATTTAATTGCTGCTGTAATAGTTTGAGCCTTAGAAGATGCTCATGTCTAGACCATTTGTGAGCTTTGGCAAGTTGCTTCTGTTTGAGCTCATGTGTTTCAGCCATTTGCCTTAGTTTGGTTTCATGCTCTTCCTGCAAACACTGGAACACTGCCGTGTTGCGGAGTTTGGCACTTTCCACTATTTGAGATGCCTAAAAAATTTAAGTATGATCGTTGAGGGCTTTTGAATGAAATAGTCCTTTTCTCTATCACATTGATACTAACCTCTCCCAACTTTTGTACTGCAGAACGTGGCTTTTTATGTAAAATTCTAGTCCTCTTTGTCTGAATATAATTGTTTTGGTTGCTAAAATAAATACAACTTACATTAGAATTATGACTTCTATCAGAATTATTAAGTCAAACGTCAATCAAACACGGCGGGTTGCCAGGGTAACAATAAATAAGGGTCGTTTAGTTATTCAACCAATACACATCGATTATTGGTCAAAGAGGTGTTTATGCCCTGTACAAGCTCTATTCACTGAATAACTATCACCTTGTTATAACTCATGTATAGTGATTTTTTATTAGTAAGACCGTATGTGTATATGTTGACGTACAAACCACACATAAAAGGATCTAACAGTACAGACGGGGAAAGCACTTTCGTTTTATACTTTGAAGATATAAAATATCGCGAAAGCATAAACACAGGTAATGGAAATAAAGGAACTCGACTGATGTCAAAGGCAATCTGCAATTGGCATTTTTTCATTGTAGAACAGTCATAATGAAAAAGAATATTTTAATTAACCTTTGATTATGTTGTTAAATTTTTTTTTTTTTTTTTCTCCACATCACTATCTTTACAGGCTAACCTAATACAATAGTGTGGTCCTTAAATATAACATATCATAATAGAAATAAATTAAATCACTCCCTGTTACATTTTGTATATAATGATAAAGAAATGCTTAAAATTGGTGAAATAATAATTACTTGGACTAAAGGAATGAACGTAAATATTTTTAAAATATTGCATAAGTCTTGAATTTTATTATTACAATAAAATTGTATTTTGTTTTGAACAATGTAAATATTAATTATAACATATAACATAAAGTGCGATTTTTGTGAACTCACTCAGGGAACATGTAAAAAGATCTGTGCCGTCCGCTACTTCATTGAGTATATGTAAGGTGCGCGCTATCGCCGCTTTGCCTAGCAAATTTGTTCTAGCACTGGGTACTGCTAGTAGACGTGGACGCCGCCTACGCCACACGTAATTGTTGGGTACACATAGGTTAATCTCTTTCAAGACCCCCGGATTCGACGTATTACCACGCAATAATTTAAACATATACGTGGCAAGAGCCATGTCCCTCCTTGTCTCCAATTTGCTGTATCCAACCATGCCTATAACAAACAAGGTTGGATACATCAATGGATAAAATGGGTATACTCCATACAGCCTTAGGTACAAGAACCGAGTAAATTTATTTTGGATACGTTCCAACATGAGACTATACTTAGCTTCATGTGGAGCCCAGATAATTGCGTTACTTTCTAACTGGCTTCTCACCAATGCATTATACAAGGTGGATATCGCAGTGATGCTAGTGAACCCTCCCACTCTTCTGAGTACGAAGCCCAAGCTCCTATATGCTTTTTTACATACATGCCCCGCGGTGTGCAAATTATACTATAAATTTCATAAATATATAGTTTTTACAATATTCTACCTATACCTATTAGTACTATGTAGGTTAATAATATTATGATAAATTGCATTACTGCTACTGTACATAAATAAGTATAAATTTTACGCAGATGAGATGACATATGAAACCGCTAACGCTAACTTTCGGCTCTTATTCTTGTATACTAAGTGTTACTTAAGGCAGTTTTTGCCGCGCATCATCACGTGGAACCTGCCCACTGAAGTATTTCCGAACCAATTAACTTAGGGCCCGTCAAGAAAAGAGCGTAACAATTCTTGAAGCCGGCAACGCACTTGCGAGCAATGTAATAAAATATATATTTATCTATATCAAGTACAGTAGAAATAAAGTGGTTTTTTTTCTTCATAATATACAGTATTGTATATTTGTATATTGGAAATAAAATTATTACATCCATGGTTGTGGAGAGTATATTGGCAATTTTGTTTAAAATGAAATACTATTGATGGATAACGCTTTTATTTTGAAACATTTTTGTTTTGTGAAAATAATTAAAATGCACATCACATACCGACTCGAAAGACGTGAACGATTGGCAAGTGGTAGTGGATGATCAGCAAAGGTGGCGTTTTCTAGTGTCACAGGCCACATATTATTTGGGTCGCTGCACCACCGGTGTAAGTAAATGAACATTACATAAATATACTATATTGGTCATGTAGCAAAAACACTTCTATATCTGTTACTGTCCTACCTACTGGGCTTCCATCGAAACCATTAAAGTACTTCAATAAATTGATTCGCGGAAAATTGAAATTGGACGACCTTATTAAATATTAAATAGCGAAACCCTGAGGCGGTGAGTTTAAGTAATTTGAGTTCAATGACACAAATGAATTATTAAATAATTTGCCATTTTTTTTGTAAAAGTTAAATCATATAAAAAAACATAAACATGAAATGGTAATATTGTAACAATTGAAAACTTTTATAGTTAGTATACAGAAGGAAGAAGAGCCAATAATTAAATGTCATACAAAGTATCTAAATTACTAAAGCTAAAACAATACTAAACTTGTAATAAAACCAACGGAATAAGTATATTTTTATTTTATAACACAACATATATAGTAGAGACCGACAGAATTGAGAAATGCATAAAAATTGCTTATCTTTAAGTCTTCTAAGATCTGATCGCTACGAATCTATGACTCCTCTTAAAAGGAGACTTGTTTCTTCTCTCGTTCAGCTCGGATTGTAATTTTTGAAGCGGCTACAGTTGTGTCAGCTTCGGTGTCTGCGACAAGGGCTCTAAGGCGAGCGGCACGTTTCTCTCTAGCCGCGGTTCGCTCGCTCAGTTCCGACATTTCATCCTCTAGATCAGTTAGACGCGCCCTGGTGGCTTTGGCCCTTTGTACGGCAGCGGATTCCTCATCTACGTCCTTCAACGCTGTCCACTTAGTCAGTGAGTTCTCTTCGTTAATTCTACGCGCTATGCGTTTCTCTGTGCGATCTTCATTCTCTTTCAGAGCTCTTCTTGCGTTAGATACCTCACTTTGACCAATACCAACAGTTTCAAGGATCTTGTCCGTAATAAAGTTGGTTTTTATCCGATTTTCCAGGTTTGATACGTTGCTCTCAAAATCAATATCATCAGAGAATCGAGATACCTTCTTACTCGCGCGGAGACGTTTTAGCGATTCAGTGATCTGTAATAAAGAGTATCAAGATTATTACGTTTACGATACACATGTTCAAATAGTTTGGAATATGTAAGTTTTTCCTGTTCTATTTCTGTTTGGATTAATGCGTACGATATGTAGGTGAGTGTGCCTTGCGTGAGATAGTTAATTTTATCGTCCAATTGTTAAAGATCAACCAACGGACGCACGTGTCACATACAACTGACCATCAATCACGCGAAGGAATCCAGATTAAATTGTTCGTGAAGCTTACTGAGGTAATAAGAATACGCACCAGTATTTATTTTACACCTTTACGTCAAGTAAGAATATTAAATCCAATGTAGTTTTTTATGGTACATGATGGATTGATTAGAACATGTCGTACAGTTTGCATGAAAAATTCATCCTATAACAAAGTGAATGATCGTATCATAAGAGAAGAAACGTGCTGGGTTATCTTGTTATTTATTACGGTTTGTTTATTGAGAAAAATTTATAGAAAATTTTAGAATACAACTGTTTCTTCCGTATGTAGGATCCACATTAAACAATTATTCTCCCTTCGTGGAGAATCTTTTTACCTTGTAAAACTTTAAACGATTTAAGTGAACCAGTCGACCATTTAAACGTCCAGACGGTTTCCTTCAACTATTTGTTAAATGTACCTTGTTGATAATATAATTGTATATATTCCGTTGAAGACCGTTTTCAAATGCAGATAAAACATAACTTTATATAGATCTTCATAAGAGGAAGCGGAAGCGGAAGGAGGCGTTTAGTAATTCTGTACTTCTTTTATAAATAATTATTAAGTGGATTATTAATCAAAACTTGTTTCTTACTTTATGCGCTATTAAAGATTGATTGAAATAAAATACTTTAAAAATGTCCCGGGTAATGCTTCCTCCAATACTTTTTAGATTGAAGCAGATAAACATATACTGTCTTATTCAGGATTTTGCATGCAACAGTCGTGGTATGAAATCCCTAAAAGATTCACCATGTTTCACCGAGTTAAAAAATCGAAGATTCTTCGTATGCGCAATTAAGAGTCGAACGTCGTTATTAACACGAACGGTATGTCATAAAGTCTTACAGTCTAAAAAAAGTAAAGAAAGAAAGGAAAAAAAGAGAGTGTAGCATCACTGATTTTTATATATCTTTATATTTGTAAAGTAAAAGCAATGAAAAACTAGATATTAAAAACCTTTTTCACTGACACAATCATCAAATTAGAGTACACGTTGGTTTTGTAACTGAACCTAGTCGAATGATTTAGTAAAGTTCGACTCTGTTCATACAGAAATTATGGTTGATCTGACGTCCTAGATATGTCAGAAAACGAGAGCCATAAAATATTGTGATGTTAGTTATATCTACTTACTTATTAAACATTTAAACAAAAATTAATGTTACAGTGTAATACATTAATTTAATTTTTTTCTAAGTTACATAGAAGTAATCGGAGAAGGCCGCCACTTAACGATAAGTATCCCGAGGAACGAACTAATTTGAATACAAAAACCTAAACATTTGGAACATCTACGGGGTTATTTTAAAGGATGGATGATGATTAACAGCCTTTTTATTTATTTTAGTATTGAATCATTCTGATATCAATCAACTGAATTAAAGGATTTAATCATTTCAATTAAAAGGGGACATATTGTTACGGCCATTAATCGCAATTCACGTGTACCACAAATTAGTTGGACTGTAACAAATAGCCAACATTATTAAACAAACATATATAACATACAAGTAGGCAGTACAAGTAGGTAGTACAACGGTGAATTTGTTAAATGGTATACTAAAAGTAAAAAATCATATTTTCTAACAAATATAGCAGTTAACACTATTTTAGTTTAACCAACCAAAAGATACAATAACGTATTCAAACAGTGCCTTAATTTATTCTACTAATGTAATATAAAATATTTGTATATCATCATAAGATAACTATTAAGAACAGTGGTTTTTATTATGACCATAACGTCTAAACAAATAGTGTCTTCTGGATGTACTAATGTGAAACAAACCATAATAAGAAAATTAGATTCAGTGGGTCTAATGAAAGACTTTATCCAGACCCGATACTCAGGAAAAAGATTATAACCATTATTAGATTTCGAATAATTATTCTTTTTCCATTTGTTGACACTAAAATAAATATGTACTTTCAAATCACATCTATTTCCAGCACTACATGCGCATTGAATAATTCAATCATGTATTAAAAATAATTTATATGTGGGTTGCTGCAATTACGCAGAGGAAATAAATAAAATTCAACAACAATTTTCACATAGTCACTTTGAAGTACTTCATTGACACTGGAACTTAACGCCTTTAGTACACCTACGCGTTCGTATGCGGCTGCGAGTCTTTGTGGTAGGGGAGCCCACGATGCTAAATGGGGATTTACTCGAGCGTCGTAGAGACCTATTGGGATGCAAAGCTTAGATAATAAGAAGAAAAAAATGTTATATGATATATACCTTTTCATCGGTGGGCGCCTATAGATTGTTAAATATGTAAAAAAAAACTGTTGCATGGACATCCTCGAGCGCGTCAGATATTGATAGCATCAATGCCCTACGTATTTTTAATAATGTACGTATGTTAATCTGATCGTTTGCATGATGCGGGTGGTTGTATTTAAGGGTTGAAAATGAAAAAAAAAAATAAAAATTATCGAGCGCGTCAGATTTTCTAAGGGAGTGTTAAGTGCACCAAAAAAAAGCTCTCATTCACTAATCTGACGATTTCGATGGGACGCAAACCCACGGCCATTTTCATAATTTGCAAAAAAAAACGCAATTTTGAAATACTCAAGCGCGTCAGATTAAGATATATGTGGTTCATCTTTATGTTCTAAACGTACTGTCTCATAATCTGACGATTATCTAGAGGGATTCGCCTGATCTGACAAAATTTTTTTAGAAAAACGGTTCACCTAAAGGGCCATCCCTGCAACTTCCCGCTAATTCCATTCCTGGGCGCTTAAAATTGATATTTTGAGCTCGCTGAGTTCAAAGAAATAACATTTCTATGCATTTGAGCTCTCCCAGCTCGAAAGTCTGATAGTTTCATAGAACACTATTTTTGGAATTTTCAAACCGCAATAACTTTTGAATGGATCAAGCAATTTTCACGCGGTTGGCGGCATTCGACGCAGTGTTATCATCATCATAAGTAATTTTGCAATTGTAATTGATCGAACCACAAATTTCGGAGTAATCCCAAAAAAACACTTTTTCGGTTTTCTTTCGTTCACGATATCTCTCGAACTAATCAACCGCTTTTGACCAGCTTGGTGGCGATCGACGTGGTTTTTCAAGCTCAAAGGCGGATTAGTTTTTGAAGTTGATCGATAAAGAAACCACTTTAAAAAAAAAATATTGCTTATTTTTTTAAGATTTTTCAAAATTTCTCAAAATCTATCGGTCCGAATCGGTTCAAATTCACAGGAAATGTAATTTTTAGGGAAATATTTAGAACGCCGTTTAGTAGATTCCGATCGGTTTAAGGAAATGTAGGCATCACGCAGCTGCACGCATTTAACTTTATCGACGAATTTTTGTTATTTCGGCTTGCGGAAATCGTCAGATTATATATTTTTCATTATTCTTGAATTATTTCCTTCAAAATAAAATAAAAATTAGCTACGCTCGAGAATGTCGAGATGACGTTTTTTTTTTACAACTTTGTTGCCCTCCCCTTTTTTTCCGTCTCTCTCAAATTGTCAGATTAGTGGAATATACACTTTTTAGGATGTAATTAACTCACCCTACCTTAATCTGACGCGCTCGGGAATTTCTGATGGTCAATTTTTTTTTACTAATCTGATCCTGTCTCCTTCACGGGCGGCCTTATATATGGGCCTCATATTTTGTGGAGGTACTTAACCGGGTACAAGGTATCCCCCTATATATTAATCTGCCGCGCTTTAGTAAATCCCGAAATCCCCTCTTGGGCTCCCCTACCATTGCGAAATATCTGCGGAACGTTAGTACACTGCAGTTTTTTCGCAAGGAAATGTCATTGTAGCTTTATTTCTTACCATCTATCCCCGTCTTTTCTTGAATTTTCCTCCATGCCACCTCTTTTTTGTATGCATTTTTGTAATTAACATGCCCAACTAAATATAATTCGGGATAATTTCGAATCAAATTGAATAATAATTCAATATTTATTATTATATAAAAAAAAATAAACGCAAATAATAATAATTAATTATATTTTTTTTTTTTGAGGCTCCCACACAAAACTGCGAATTCGCATCGTATCGCAAATATCTGCGAATTCGCACGAACGCAACGCAAGAATTTCCGATCTGCTTCGCATCGCACATTCCTGCGATTTTACGTCATCCTTGGTGACACCATTTTAGTCCGCTCTGAGACAGCTTTAGAGAAAAATGGCGGAATATGATATAGATTTTTTAATATCTTTAATTGAGGAGCGTCCCGCCCTTTGGGACACAAGTGATGAACATTATAAAAATAAATTTATTAAGCAAGATGCGTGGAAGAACGTCTGTGAAAGTTTGTTTCCAAATATCCAAGACAAAGAAAACAGTGAAAAAACAAAACTTGGTAAGTACTTTAATTTCTACAACAATACAATCAATGCATATAAGTATGAATTAAATAGCGTGCGCGCGTGTAAGAGGGCTTCCTGAATCTGGCGCGCTATTCGTACTTCTATGAATAAATGTAATTCAGTGCAATAAAGTGTGCAGTACGACAAGGTAAATAATGAGCATCGACTAATGTCGTGTTTCTGACCTAATTTGATTTAGAAAAACACTTTTTAACGTTAGTGTTTCAAAGAAATGCAAACGGACAGGTAGCAAAGACCGTTCTCATATAATATGACCACATGTAAATATACGTACATATCGCTCAAAAAGTTTTGAGTAAAAAGATCCCATATTATGCGTAGATATTTAAAGATTTTATTCACTACCTACGTACTTGTGTAGACGGGTACCACTTGCACGTGTTAGTAATCCTATTAGTGCCTAGAAAATATTTTACTAAATATTATTCCGATCAGATTTTTTCGCCTCGATAGGTATTTTCATGATCCAATTCCACAATATTTTAAGAACCTTGAGTTTATTGATTCGTTCGTTTTTTGGGCGTTTATTATTTTAGTAACAGAGTAGTCGACTTATAGCAGTATACCAATAATGTCAAATTTAATCAAACAAAAAGTTTTTTGTATCGGTGTAATTCTACGTACATTATTAGTTTACGCTTAATAGTGTTCGTAAAATTGTTAACGTTCAATGTACTAACCGAACTTTCTAGGAATTAATTATACCTTTCATATCAATTTTATGAAATAAAATATTTGCCTTAATTAAAGTTTCCATGTGCCATTGCACAAAATACTCAATATAATTTGGTAACTGAATATCGTTGTGTATTCTGAACATTTATTCATCAATCTTGCTTTGTTATGTCGTTATTTTTATAACGTAAGACAAGATTATTTGTTTGTATTAAACCGACATTTAGATACAACTACGAGAGCTCCAATATACAAAACCATTCCATGTTAATAGAATTTCACTTGTATTACATTCTCTGATTGCACTTTGCATTGCAATCGCCGTTCCAGTTTATTAAAAGCTCAAAATCAATGCAGTATAATAATTAGTTTCTTCATTTTACCGTATGACAAATTATGTGGTTGTTTAATGTAAATATACATGTGTCGTAAATTAGAAAATTAAGTGTGAATGTGCTGGGTTCGATCACCGAAACCATTATTGTAGTACTTATAGTAGGCACAGAAGAGTGTTTCTGTACTTAAATAAAAATTGCCTAAACCAAAATGACCTAAACATGTCCGCGGGTGGTGTATGACTTAAAACATAAATAACTTGTTCTGCTAAATCCAATCGAAAAAATGATATAAGTATATGTTGTCTTGACCTTATTAAGACCGTAATAGCTAATAAGAAGTTCTTAACATCGTCTGCTTATTTCAAATACATACAACACTTATATTAAGTAGTAAGTATTTTGTATATCAATGCATATTTACGATAATCTACTTGGGTACATTCGGCAATATGATTTTTACCGATTTCATGATATCTTACCGTTGAGAATTGCACTAACAACAAGCTTTATATACTTGGCAAAAATATAAATACCCGGATTCCAATTGAGTAACGGTTAATTTCAGGCTTACGTAAATAAGGTAGTTATTCATAGCTGAATGGTCAGTGAATCAATAAAGGTTTTATTGGTTTCAAAACGAAATAACCCCACATATTGAATGTACAAAATAAGCAGGGGCTTCGTAATAAACTCATCTGTTTTCATTTAAATAATGTTATTGAGTCACGTTGTAGCAGACTGTGTTTGTTTTAACTAACCAAATACGAACTACACTTGTAAGCTATGCACATGCTGTGGTTTAACTTAATTGATATCACCTTTTCATACGCGATAGCGCACCAATTATTGACGGATATTCAGTTTCAAAGGGTTTTCATGAATGACTGATTCTTTTTATAGTTTATGAGAAATGATTTTAATAGTCAAATTAATTTTCAATTTTATATAAAATTTGATGTGTATTAAAGTACTAAAGCATTTGTTGGTTACTAACGAATTCTAGGAATTGTTTATTACTAATTGTTTCTTTAATAAAGAATGTAGGTATTGGATGTATCGTATCTTTGTTTTACTGAGAAGCGAATGAGTATAAAAAATAATAATGAGTAAATATAAACTTTTATCGTTTTATCAACCTTGTTTGAAGCCGAATCTCCTCATTGGGAATAGAGTTATTTTATTTTAGTTTACATTATTGTATCTGTTATAACTATATAAATCGTTTTTGTTTTACGCAATACAATCAATGAAATAATACTCAAGTGAAACGATCGACGTTTCATGTCTCTCGCTACCACGACTGCTGAAAAGTTCTCATAACGACTTAATAATCTAAAACGCTTTTATATTTGTGAAGGCGTTTATATAATATATAAGGGGACAAGTGGAAGCTCGACGTTCTGTAACGGTTCTCTATAACTAACAATAGTGATAGTGATAGTTCTTTCAATAGACGAAAGCTGCTATCAAAACCATGGGATCACGCGGTATATAAAATCAATATTGTAATCGGGGCTGCAATCTTTATTACCTGCCTTGCGATTCTGTAACTCACTTTTCGAACTCACACATCGATTTTCACAGCGGCGGTCGCGCTCAAATCAGTCGTAAAGCAGTCATTTTACGATTCGGCATTCTGATAAACAATAAACTACAAGGAGGGACCTTGTGTGAGTTCGATAAGTGAGTTACAGAATCGCACGGCTGTTGTTGTTTTGCCGTAACTCACTTTGTAGCTACTATATATAAGCAACTTAGTGGTTCTATAACCATAAGCCTCTGATTTCTGGATCCTTGTTTTATTTTGTGAGTAGCATCCCGAGGAATTGAGATTGCAAAACGAAAGAGGAAACAATAGGTTGACATCTCTTGTCCAAAACGTGCTGGCTCGCACATTAAAGACTTATGGTCAGGTTATACCAAGTGAGACTGATATTTTAGATGCTTCTCTCTGAAAATAGCGTTAAGATGTTTATGTTAACGAGCGACCACCACATAATTATTTTACTTTTGGTAGTTTTGTGTTCCCAAAGTACTGAGAAGCTGGACTCGCGAACATTTCTTTAAATTTTATTATGCTCTAGGTGAAGATCCCACCGATGAGGATCATGGATATAAAGCCAAGAACGTGATGAGGACTTTCAGCTGAAAAATTGCGTGCTGGCCTGACCTTGGAGGATTCGACCATGAACAGGAAGGGCCTTAAATCATTCCTCTTGCGCTCGGAATGTGAGGGCCGAAATTAATAATAAATCCTGATCCAATTTTTTCCATCTAAATTTGGTATTACAATCCGTTTTTTGGAGTAATACCGCTATAGTGAGGGAAGGATCACGCAAAAGATTGCTTGCAATATTTCGAATAAACAATCGGATAGCAGATTTGTTATATTGGCATGCAAATTGGAGATCGATCTTTAGATATGAATCAATCCAAGATTGGTTATAATCTTAGATTGAAGATACATTATTTGTTTTGGGCGTGAATGACTTAACGGCCTTGTCATAGGTCATCTTCGATTGATTTGTTTATATTATGTAAAATACCCTTCAAGAATGGATAAACCCTTTCTGCCTGTTGCACGCTGTCGGTATTCCAATGCGTATTGGCTACCTGACGATGTTTTCTTTCACCGTATGAGCAAATAGCTATTACGCCCAAAGGCTCAAATGGCTAACACTTCTTAACCAAGCAAGCAGCCTAATAAAAACAATTTTTAAACAAACAAAAACTATTTTAGTAATTAATATCCCAACGCAAATTCATTTTCCATTTGAACAGAGTGCTTTTAAATGTCAGTCAACTATTTCAAGATGACAGGAGTGCTGCCAAATTTCGATCAGTTTATTTGATGGAAAAATCATAATAAGTGATTGAGTTTTGGAGTATTGGACGAATGAAAAAACAAAATCAGGACACGCTCCATGCTGATAATTCGATCGCTTACAAATATTGCAATATTGACTATTTAAAATATAACATTTGAATACGTTAAAGACAGCAACAGAAAATAGACAGCACACAACTAAAAACTACATAAATGTATTATTTAAATTTAAAAGCTTGTTTTAATTTAGTGTTAATTAGTTAGTGATTTTGTTTTATATTTATTTATATATTTATTGATTTATTATTCGAGTAATCGAGCCTCGACGTTTCCATGTTATCTCCAAATGCGTATTTACTAAGGAAATAAGCAAATCGTATGGATTTTATGATCATCTAAAAACGCACGCACACTAATACACCACGTATTCCAAATTCCCACGCACACTCCAAGTAAATTAGTAGTAAATAATGTTCTGTGTATATTTGGTTTTAGCTGTTTTAGCTATATTTTTAATTTACATAAAATCTTTAAAAAAAAGCTGTGGATTATTAATAAACTCTAAAATTAAAGTAACACTTTCTCAACCTTATCAAAATACCTTTGCCACTTTTCCATACAGGAAACGATACAATATGTGTGTATGTATGTGCCCGGTCGGTAAATAGCGAGACACAATCTATTATATCTACTCGTATATGAGAAGTTTTACATCAGTAAAACAGTCTTCCTATATTAGATGGTACTTTTATAAAAAAACGGAGTAGAAAACTAAGGAGAAAAACGGAGAATATCGTAAATCTTTTCAAAAATCATATCCTTCCATTTTGTTTCTATATCCCTAAGTTGGTTAAGTGTCAACGCAACCTACTCGCGTACAGCCATATTTGAATCTATTACGAGAAATCTTTAAAAAAAGTTATAAATACACATTAAGTATTTGAAAAGGAAAATTTTATTATATCTTTACCGATGCGTTAGTTAGTTAAAACTAAAATATTATAATATACGTATATATAATATTGATTTTAATGTGGCATAAATCCTAATGAAAATATCGTTAATTAATAAAAAAGTCAGTTCGTCACTAATATTAAGGAATTTCTTTGTTTTTGGTAAGATTAAATGAATATTCTTACATCGTCAGTCAGGTCGTCTTCCAAAGCAGACGATAGAGGTCGTCCACGTTGAACACGGCCACCTCTTGAGTCAAATAAGTTTTCAGCTGGCGTGTCGATGTCATCCAGTGCTGTCCTGATGCGGTTTTCGACATCAGATTTGATTTGATCCCTCTCAGGTTCCTTTGCTACGGGGACTTTTCCGTCCAAACGATCCAGCACGGGTCGGTAGTAACTCTCCCCTTTGTTATAATTACAGTCATAGACGCGTGTGCGCCTAGTTCTACCAACACGACTCATTTTTACAACTGAAAAAAACGAAGTATAATAGCTTTATTGGAATGTTTTTTTAGTCACGTTAAGATTTTGTAAATAGCATCAGTCCAGCAAATATTTTGTTTCAATAAATTAAATTCATACTAACATTCAGAGTTGTTTGAACATCCAATTTTATCGCTACCGAGATAAAACTTAAATTATTTCTATATTTAACTATTAAAAAAATGTCAAATGCAAATATTTCCACTCGGTCATACGTGAGTGTTCCATTCCATTCAAGGATGTTACCGATTTTGAGAGCTTGGCATTTCAATTTCGTTGTTTAAATGTGAAGTAGAATTGAAATTTGACGAGTTGTCTATAGATATGTAATAACCGTAGCAAGAAAAAGCAGAGTATCAGATTGTACTCCTATTAAATATATACATTACACGTTAATCTTCGTTGTCTATAAAAGAGATGTTTTGCAAAACTCGTAAACGACTAATAAAAACACATTAAACACGACAACGTAATACACGATATAACGTTAATGTTTATCATGTGTTTAAATGAATACACATTCCAAAATACGAAAACAACGCCTACACACTATTCCTGGAGAATAACTAACGCTTCATTCAAAATCAGCTTATGAATGTAAACGACCGCACAATATTCAAAGTTTCAAGTATTCAAATTGTAAGGTATGATTATTATGAGACATGAAAGTAAATACAATAGATTATCATCCTTTGAGTCATCTCGAACTACGCGAGCAGCGTACACTGGTACAATTTCAAAATAGATATCGCAAACATTTGATACGAGGATATTTTTAGTACCGAAACCCGGTTTTTGTCTGAACTAAATTATTGTTATGTACTCATGGAAAGTACACCAGTAAAGTTAAATATAGATTTATCTTAATATTTTTTAATTTGGAACACGATTGATTAAATGTAAACGGATAATCGCGCAGCATATAGTTAATCGCAATTGCCGAAAAAGTAGGAGAAAAGTAACTAACCTGTTGCGTCTTTGTGCCGCGAGATGTAAGATGGAACTGAAAGTTCAGGCGATGTGGAGACAGGCAATGTGCGTGGGCGATACTATGTTTAACCGTGAGCAACACCAAAATATACTGACTTTTGTTCCGAATGCTTTACTACTCGAAAAACCAATATGCGCAGACGCGTGCGTCATGGCATTCGGAAATCACATGTCAAGTTTTAACAAATTTTTGTTACACAAATGTAGGTCGTAGATTCCCTTTATATATGTCGACTGATCCAATTCATACACGCATTTTACGCTACACATGAAGCTACTACTGATTAGATAATATTAATGTATTATCATTTCAATTACCCCACATACACATTACACATACAAACACAAATCAAGTTACATTTTGGCTTTAAACTAGCGCGAACAAATCCGTTTCCAGTAAAATACAAAATTGTCTCAATTTCAATGGCACTATTGCATTAGCAAACGAAAAAATATCCCTTGAGGTTTAGTTAAGATTTTATGCAGCGATTTCACTGAAACTGATATTCCAGTTGTTAGTTTGCCTCTGTGCCGTATTTAGCATGAAAATAGCACGAATACATATTGGGTTTCCTGACGCAACAGAATAATATTGAATTTATCCTTCACAAAAGGACCTTCCTTCTTGGAAACCTTCTTACTTTTAACATCTATTTTGAAATACACTAATAATCTGTCTGATAATTTATAACCGCAATTACTTGAATCTATTAATATTTTTTAATAATTGATTGATAATTGACACATTCATAGGAATTGTAGGGGCTTTACAACTCCTCTGAATGTGCAGATGTGCCCACATCCAGACGCAAGCCCAGGGACCAGACCGCACGAATAGTGACTGGTGGTCGTTAACGATTCCAATCGCTCTTCGTTTAATATGGAAAAGCGAAAGGAGCTTCCGCGCAGAGTTGAGAAAAATACTCATTGTGGGGCCGAATATGCGCTTTATAGAGTTGCAAGCGACGATGGTCTCTCCTTCCTGAGCACACCAAGCTTCTTAAAGGCTAATTAAGCCTTCTCTTCCAAATTACCGCGAAACTGAACGTCATGCGATATGTCAACGCCCAGTATTCCGATTCTAGCTGAGGCTTTAAGGAGAGTGTCTTCGAAGAGATGAGTGGCGACAAAGGGAGATTTTTATAGTGGAATTTTTTTTGCCTCTATCACAGCGTAAACATAATTGACAAGAATTGCCATAAATAGTGCTTTTGTTGTACATATTTAGAACCAATCGAGAAAACTCGACTAAGCATTTGTATGCTCTACGGGTTAAAGATTTAATATAGATGAAATTTATAATTATACTTACATAGTCTAATTTAAACTCCATGAAAACAGCCATATTTTAATCTCAATATAAAAGCTGTTAGTCATAACCTCACCTGTTGAATAAACTTAATTAAATTTTGGTTCAACTACCGTTAAAGCAAACAGAAGTTCTAAACTTGCAATTTCAGTATCAAGAAGGTTTAAGCGTTCGGGATGTGGGCTATTACGCACTCGTGTTTTTTTTTACCTTTTCCGAACTAGTTCGTTTTCTTTCCCAACTGTCAAAATAATGTCTTTTAAAAAGAAAAAACCAACCACGAAGTTTTTACTAAAAAAATTCATAGCAATTTTTATGATTCATGCAAATATTTCTAAAAAGAAGCTACTGCTTTGTTTCAATATCAGATTTAATGATTTGATTCAATGAGTTAGGTTAGGTTTCATTTCATCTCATTAAATTTCATTTCATATCAATAAAAAATTGTACTGAAGACTTGGCTGTATGGGCATAGTTCCCTTTGCCTACCCAGAATGGGGAAGAAAAAAATAATATCTGCTTATATTCTTTTAAGGTTGGCGCCATTTTCCATAAATGTTCTTTGCGCGTTTAGTTGTTTGTTATATTATATATTAAATATACATGAACAATCATACGAAATTAATAATAGTTTGTCTCAAACAGTAAATAAATATGCAACCTAAAACTTCTCCAGTTAGTATAAAAAACTGTACCAATGTATATGTGAACAATAATTTGTATAAGAAATAAATGATTAGTTAGTTGAGATTATTGTGTTTTTATTATTTTATTAAATTGCATAATTTTTTCGCAACTGTATTAAAAATAGTTGTTCAGTACACGTGCGGAACCGTCATTGCAACTTGTTCCGACTGTCAACCCTCACCTTCGGCTGCGCCTCGGCTCGGGTAGACATTTGTCGAAACTTTTTGCAATGACAGGCTTTCCGCACTTGTAATGAAATATACTATTTTATTACTATTAAATAAGAAGACGTTTTTACTTTAGGTATTATTTACATAATATACAGTCTAAACTCTTTATAACGAATTTCAAGGGACCAAGCATTATTTTCGTTGTAGAGATATTTCGTTATAGGGACAGAAGACAAAAAAAAACAAATTTAACCAATTACAATAATTTCTAATTTTATTACTATCAATAGGTAAATTATTCTAAATACATAACGATTTTCTTTTACTGGCCATCTTGACAGTTTCAAAGTTTGTTTACGACTGATAATACACAATAGAAAAAATACTGAGACCAAAATTTCCTACGGGCATGTAATCTAAGTATAAAAAATGGCACACGTGTTAATGCAATTAACAATAACAAAGGCGAGACGGGTGATTTTCTTAAAAATTTCGGCACCTCAAAATGTTAGTTTTGTAAGCTGATTATAAAAACAATTACACTTAAGTATGTTGTTGATGTCTAAATATGAAAATAATTCTTCGTTATAGAGGATGGCGGTTGCGGTATTAATATATGGGTTTTGTGTTAAACTTTGTGTTTACACTGTATATAATTTATTCTTACACATATGTAATTAGGTAACTTTTTATCTGTATCACACGTATAGTAGCTTTTAAGTGGCTTCCAGGAAGCTTTTATTTAAGTTTAATATTTTCATTTTGATTGAAACTATTTTAATGCTAGAAATAATAATTTTGTCATTGAATTAAATCCCATGGTGCCATCACCATTTTTGATTCTCAGGATTCCATAATCTTGGGAAAAAGGAGGAATTTTTTTAAAGATCTTAAGAAGGGATCTTCGCATTTTCATAGAGACTTCCAAATATTTTTTTCACTTTAGAACATCAAAAAATTAAGTGTCGTTATATTTATCGCTAGTTCTTAAATCAAGAGGGGACGAGAAGAAGCGACATGAATGCCACTTTAAATCGCAAAATATTTTGTTCTGTAAGGAGATGTAACAATTAAATCTTGCTGTACATGCATTGGATTATTCGATAAAACAAAGTAAATAAAAGAAGTATAGCCTCTTCCAGCAGTGGTTTATAGGAGCACACACTTCAACACGCAATCACGGTAGATCAAGGTGAATGACGGATGAAATAAATTGTATATGTATTACTTTTGCTTAGCAACATAATAAATTCAAGCGCATAATTAGGTTTTTCTATGTGTGTTTGTAATGCTTATTTTTGTATAATAAATGCTGATGAGGGAATTTAAAGCTGACACACATAAACACACTCTGACTTGGCTTGGCTTGAAATTATGTGTATGTTAGTATGTTAATAGGAACGTTATAAGAATTACACTCTAAACCAGATATTTGGATTGCGATTCAAAATATTCAGAATACACAGATATACCCTCAGCAATATTAAAACGAAATTCGAAGTACGCTTCTAATAGATATAAAACCTTTTTTGAATTTAAAAAGTAAAATACAAAGTTGACGTTTGAAAATTTTTTAACGAAATATATCTTAATATCAATTCAATGAGTCCTTTGCCTTTCCCATAAGGCATAAATTAATATCATCATCATCATCAATTCAATTAGATAATAAAAATGGGATGTATGCTAAGGAGCGATCTTATGTCTCTTTGTGAAATATTCATTCAGCCTGAATGCGCGTTCGAGGTATTATCTCGATTGGGAGAAACGGGAAATGTTCAATTTCTCGACGTAAGTTATAATTTAAAAATACTTTTGATTGG